ACATACATACATACATACATACATACATACATACATACATACATACATACATACATACATACATACATACATACATACATACATACATACATACATACATACATACATACATACATCATACATGCATTATATTAGTCCAATACTTTCAACTAAAAATACAAATTTAACTCAGATAACAACCAATTAAAACTATTTTAACACATTCAACATTTAAGAGATGTTTGATTAATCAATAATCATTTTAAAAAGTAACACACATGAGGTCAGGGTCTCAAGAGGGTAGGTGCATCCAAACCTTACCGTAACCTTAAAAGTTAGACAGACTATTTTTTGAAGACCTTTCACTAAAGAAAATATAAAAACAAGTGAGGGCAATCAAAAACCAAAAGATGAAGTAAAATAATAACAAGATAAAAAAGGAAGATTAAACAACAACAAACAAATAAAGTAACCCCATCAAAGGCACCTGTCTACACTTAACTCTCTCAAAGACAATTCAAGCCATGTTAGATTGTCATGCAATTTGAATTGTCAACCTTCAAACACTTGTGTCAAGGGCAATAGGGCATGCCAACAATGAGATGCTGAAACAACATGTACTCTGTAATCAACTCACCCAAACTCTTTTCAATCTATTGAACCCTTCCTCAAACTTTCCATTGCTAATCTTTCACACATCCTCACAAGGGCACATGCCAAAACCACGTTAACTTCAACTCACACATCTTATCATCCACATGAGTCACTTACATCTTGTCATGTATATCTTTGGTTCTAACAATATCCATCCTACTATCCTAGTATAATCACACATGCACTTAAACATTCTCATCCTTGCTACTTAGCTTTTGCACTTAGGTGGCTTTGAAATCACATGAGGCCAATCTGGGTCATCAAAGAGTTACAAGTTTACCCTCAATCCCCCTATATAACAGTACAAGTTAGAATGCAATCTTGCCAACCAAAAGTGCAATGCGTCAATATTGGCCCTAAGAAAATTATTAGGATCACCATGGTGTTATATCATGTCTTATGCTCAACATATATTAATCTATACTCACTAACTAACACATTATGTTCACTACAAGAACTAGAAAAAAAGTATTAGACTATTAGGGTGCTTAAAATGAAAGTCCATGGTCCCACTACCCTTTATAGATAAGGCTAGGTTAAAAGTATCAATATTAATGAAAATGCAAATTGTATTATGTAAATAATATTTGAAAAATAAATAAATCAACCAAATATTTTAAAGATATCTTCAATATTTCCTAATACTTGTCAAATCTTTTTTGATATTTTTCTATATTTCTTGAGGTTTTGCACCTTTCTTGACCCCATGACGATGCCAAAGACTTTGAAATATAACTTTTCTTATGAAATTTCAAATAAATTGGGATGATTTCATCCTTTCATGTAACATGTTATTGACAACACAAACTAAAAGAATCCAAAAGTGTATTTGTAATGTTTGCTTATAAAGCAAAACTAAAAAAATTATTCCAGTAAAATGGTATGTCTTGACATAATATTAAAGGTGTAAGCCTCATGTGTCTAGTGTGGCAACAATTTTCTACAGCTCCTCATTGAGGCGAGAGTCAATGCATAAGTATAGAATAATGGCATCATGATTCAATCCCTCTGTGAAACAAAGCCTAAGCATCAAGGTTTAGGTTTTATTCCTTAATTCTCTTTTCTGAACTCAAAGTCATGTAAACCTCATCAATTAAAAAAAAGAACACCTAACAAACTAGTTATTTAATTCAATTAATTATTTCAGACTACAAATTATCTGAGCATTGCCGTTATGAGTCTTATGACGATAATATAATTAACAGGTGGAGGGACAAACTGACAATCTCTTAAGATATTCATTTAGCTACTTCAGACAACGAATTATATGAGAACTGCCTCTACGTCCATATAACTGTATTCTTAATCTGCTTCAAGTGACATCCTAATCTGTATACTACTTTTTAACCAGGTGTTTTTTCAAGTTGGATGAATCTGCAAAAATCAGGAAACTACTGCTAACTCCTAACTCTTTATACATCACAAACTATCAGATTTTTCAACTATACGGACAAAGTTCTATCATCAGATCCAAGACTACATGAAACCATTGTGTGTGTAGTATGTGTGGGGAGGGGGGGGGGGGGGGGG